TTCTACATTGTTGTAGCCCTGGTTCTTAGCTTCGAAACGGTGGGTCTTACACCCTCATCTGATAATCGTAGTGAAATTGATGCTATTACCGCAAAATAAGGACAAAACTGTTTTTTTATTCAGGGCCAAAGCCAATGCCATTTCTTGAATTTCTGGTTACTCATGATGCTTGTATATGCATATGAAACCCTATTGGGGTTTGTGATTGGCATTGCTTTATGACTCGTTATCGAGTCTCATTGTATTTGTTTGCATGTTCTAGGGCGTGACGGTAGTTCACGACGTACTGGTGACGGCGGTGCATGAAACACCACCTACTGGATTGGTGAGTGCACTACTCACTTGAATGCTTACAATGTGGCTTTGCTATATGTGATTGTGATGCCTTGAAGGCTTATTTGGATATTGGAATTGATTAAGGTGAGGGTGTACTTGACCGCCCTCACCTCTTTTGATAGTATTACTAATTGTTTACCGTTTCACTGTATTATTGAACTTGATATATGAGTTATTGAATTCCATTTCATGGAAACCTGATTTGGTGTCGTTTGGACGAATATCCAACAGCCTTACTGTATTACTGAGCTCAACCCCGTTGGTAGTCAATTGAATCGAGCCGGCGAGGGCTTGATCGTGAAAATTGACATGCCACGGGGACTGTACTGGGAAATCTTGTAGTAATGAGACTCTGGATTCCGGTATACTCGAGTATTACCAAAAGCTATTGATTGGAGTGCGGGGCCAGTTGGGGAATGTTGGGTGGAAGGAATGGAAGTGAAGTGAGGTCTACGGTTTGGTACTCTTAACATTGACGGAGGGTCAATGAGGTTGGATCAAGACTGTAAGCGTGGAAATGGGCTCTTGAGAGCCGTCCGTATCCTTTCACCGTTTTGTTTCATTCTTTAATTGTGTACTTTAATTGAAAGGTCATGTTATATGCTCTTTGTTGCTTATGTGGTAGTAACTCACTGGGTTTAAGCTCATTCCGTTCCATTTGTTTTCCTTATAGGAAAATGACCACTTTTGGAAAAGATTGTGTTAGTTGGTTGTCAAGTTGAGCTCATGTAAATGTATCTTTTGAATAGCTCTTTGAATGAAACCCTAATGTGTATTGGGTTCATTTTCTTTTGATTGGCAAACCAAACATGTATATTCATGATGAATGGTTTTTGTGGCATGCCATTTGGTTGTAAATGTTGAATTTCAATGTATGTATATGTTGGATTGATGTATGGTTGAACTCCGGATTCTGACGTGTCCGGCATTGTTCATCATCGGCGCGTTTTCATTTTTTTTTATTTTTGTGATTTTGACTTGTTTGCGCGCGTGGGTATGTTCCGGAACGTATTAGATCGACGTAAATTGACCCGTTAGTCCTGGCGAGAGTTGGGCAGGCAGTCCGCTAACCTCTTTGGTTCGCCTTAGGGGAAGGTGGGGCTGTCACACAATCCAAAACCAAAATAATCATTGACTAATGATCAATAAGCTCCTCTTAAATCCAAAGGCTTTTTTTTTTTTTTTTAAAAAGACCCAATTCTTGAATTAATTGCAACCCAAAAATCACCTTTCTGTTCCTGTTGATGTTGTCTAGGATTCCTGAAAGATTTGCAAAGCCTTCAACTCTGCCAGCCTTTGACGGAAGAAGCAAAAATTTCAATATTCTACAACTTGTTTTCTCGGTAGATGTGAAGAAAGTCACCCTTTCCACTCCATTTTAAAACATGAGATTGTGTACCTTCTTAGTTGTTGGGTCTAGGGCTGCAAACGAGTTGAATCGAGTCGAGTTTTGGTCTAATCGAGTCGAGTCTTGACTTAATTTCATTGAACTCGAACTCGAGCTCAAACTCGACGAGTTGACAATTTCAAGCTCGACCTCGAGCTCAACTTGATTCGAGCCGAGCTCGAACTCGAAAAAAATAAAAAATAATTATTTTATTTTAAAAAAATAAATAAAATAATATTTTTCTTAATAAATAATAAAATATTAAGGATATATATGTAATTTTACTATTAAAATTAAAAAAATAAAAAATATATATATACTTAAAATAAAAAAAAATATATACTTAAAATAAAAAATTAAAAATATATATATATATATATATATATATATATATATATATACTCGAGCTCGCGAGCTAACGAGTTTAATATTTTGAACTTGAATTCGAGCTCGATTTTGACTCGAGCCAGCTCAAATTCGATTCGAGTTTGACTCGAGCCGCTCGATTCGTTTGCAGCCCTAGTTGGGTTCAATTTCAGTCAGTTGGCTTCTAATATCATTACCTGTATTGGCACTCATTTGGGCAGAGTAATACAGTCACAATATTAGTAGTTGGATTGTCTTTTGTTGAGTCCATCAATGGCGAAGAGTGAAGTTATTATTAGGTGAAGTAGGGTGGGAAATGTTAGTTTTCACATATCTCACTTCTTCATATATTATCTCCACTCCCCTAATTGTCAACCAACGTTCCAACTCCACAACGTCTCCCTAGGTAACTCCCTCAAATCACTCCCATTATCCCTTAGTGGACCCCTAATTTCCCTTAGTGATTTAAATAAAGTAAGACATTTAATATAAAATTTTAATGTAATAAATGAAGTATTTAAACTACTAATAGAATAATTAGTAATATTAGTCAATTAAATAGTTGAAAGCAAGGTAAAATCGAAAGTTTTGGGGTTTCACAGATGGTAAGAGCTCGAGTTAAGGCCTTAAGTTGACCACTATATAATACGTACATTTGTTTAATTGGTATTAAAATTTTCTGGTTTTGCAATGTGTGAAACAATCAACATTTTAGATTGGATGCAATGTGCTTGCCCAAGTGCTCCTCCTAATGTACTTACGTAGGCTAAGTTGTTACATTGTAACAAACGTTGGTATTGTTTTTGCAAGTTTTACAATGTGGAAGACTTTCAATGTCAGCATTGTGCGAGATCAGATGCAGAGAATGAGACCTTTTTTTTTTGCGCCTTGCTACCTAATCATGGTTACTCGGGCTGCGTATGCTTTTAAGTTTGGAAAATTATTTGTATTCCCATTTTTGTTAATCACATTCTCATTATCATTCTAATCATATAATTTTTATTTATTAGACTATATGATAAAATAAATAGTGCGAGTGAAAATGACAACAAATAGTGTGTAAATAATATTTTCCTTAAGTTTTCTAGCTATATAAAGGAATCTAAGCACGTTTTGCTACTACCCATTTTCTATTATAAAATAAAATTGTTATTTAATGTGGACGGTTAAGTAAGAGTTGACTGTTTTCATTCAAGAATTTGCAAGATGGGGATCATAACACCTCATTTTAGGGAAAAAATTTTTTTATACAACTCGTGCTCTAGACATAGGTTATTATTATTTTGTTTTTTGGAAATAAGGCATAGGTTACTTTTACTTAGTTCGTTCTTGAGAGAGCAAATAATTAAAACAACTAACAACATGATTACTTATAGAAGTACAATCTAAAGATCTATGCATTTGAGGTACTAATCTTTTCATTGCATAATTGCTACCAAAATTAAACAAGTTTAAACAAGTCGAACACCTTTTTTTTTTTTATAATAAGCAAATTTCATTGTTGGAAATTGTCCAACATGAATTGATCTATATCATTGTCCTAATGGTAGGTTAAACATGTACTAGAAATTACAAATATGCAGTTTAACAAATGCAATAGATCCAAAAAAAATTATGAACATATTTATAAAATACAAAAATTTCAAAATTATCTTCTAACAAATAAATCACTGCAACTCCCGTCTATGCAATCAATGGTCTTGAACTCCAATAATAATGATGATATCTGTCGAAATAAATCTAAGATCCAAAAAAATTTCAGACCTGACAACCAGATCTGAAATAAATTTAAGTATAACAAAAAAAAAGGAAAAAAACACAAAATCTCCATAGGAATCCCCAGGAAAATAAAAAAAAATTCTTGTTAGGAATCCCCATAAGAAATAGAAAACTCTTACTAAGAAAATTTAAAAGAGAATTTATTAGAAAAACAAAATTAAATAAAATGAAATTCATGAGAGGGTAACCATACCATGGTCTCCTTTTGGAAAGGCTTTTGAAAAGAGGAGAAGAAATAGAAAGAAATCGGAGAAGAGGAAAAGTAGAAAAAAGTTACAAGTTGAATATCCTTGTGTTCAAATTTGACTTCTTTACTTCTTGAATAATTTGAATTTTTTATATGTAAACTTCACTTTTATGCTAGTTGAGCCGAGTTCGAGAACAACTTGAGGCCTTGTTTGACAAATAAGTTTTTGTCTAATTTTATCTGCTACAAATTTTTTTAATAATTTTAACTACAGTAATTTCAAAAAACTTTTTAAAAATTTTAAACTTTATATTTCAAAATATTCAAAAATTTATATAATTCAAACATTTTTTCTACAACTTTTATAATAAATTATAATAAAATTTTAGATAAATATCTAAAAAACTACTTGCCAAATGGACCTGAATTTTATCAAATATAAAATATTATTCAAATTTAATTTGATTAATTAATGAATCAAATTCAAGCGCTCTCTTAGCAAGTCGAACCGACTTGAGAAACTTCCGTCTTTCAAGTTTCAACCCTATACTCTAGGGACGCGGGGCTGGAGCGATTTGTACATGGTGTAACATCATCTGTATAAGGTGTAACAATAAAACAATGGCTCTGTTTGGATCTCCTATTTTTGGAGTGTTTTTCAAAAACTAGTTTTTCAAATACAATAAAAGTTATAACAAAGTACTCTAAAAGATAATCTAAAAATTAATTTAAAATTTTTTAAAATTTTACCAAATATCTCAAAATAAAGTGCCAATAAAAAATATTCCAAAACAAGACGTGATTTTTGTGGATCCCATACGGCGTGAAAATCGAGTTACAAGACGTGATTTGAATCGCACAAATTTTTAAGACCTCATCCAGCCGCCGTGAACTGCCTGGGACGGTTGTTAGAGACAGCGGTCCAGGCCCCTCGTCCATACTCTAGGGCTCTGGGGTGGACAAATAACAATTCATCCAAAAAGGAAAAGGCACCCAAAAAAAAAAAAGATCTTCTGCTTGGAAACCCCGAGAAACGAAGAAACAACCGGTTTCTAGAATATTCCAGTTTCCCCAACTAACAACAGCCCTTATAATTGCTTCAAAACTAAGATAAGAAGCCACCAGAGGCCGCTCTTCTCAAGGCTTAGGGCAAGGAAGGATCTGCTGCTAGGGTTTTCAGTATACTAAAATGGACAGAGGAGGAAGAATCCGTAGAGGTAGAGGTGGTGGGATGCTGGCGTTTCTGGCGCTCCACGCCGTGAGCGAGTATTGCAGGCTGGAGAGAAAACCCCCCGTCACTGCTGGACTTTTGGCCGCCAATACGCTTATTTACTTGAGGAGACCGGGTTTCGTCGATGCTATGCTGCCAACCCTCGACCAGGTCTGGTTCAATCCTGACCTTATTCTCAAGGTAAAACCCGTGTATTCCTTAAGCTTATTCTCTTTTTTCTATCGGAATCTGTTGGTTAGTTATATGATTTGTTTTGATGATTAATTGCTTTTCGGAATATGGTAACTCTAGCATATTATTTTTCGAATGATTAGATTATTTGTGGAAATGGGATGCTTTGTGGTGGGTTGAAAGTGAAGATGAGAAACATGATGCCTCTTTGGAGGATAATTTGTTAAGTTGGGATTAAATTAGCGTGCGATTAATGGAAATTGTTGTTTGGGGGACATGTTTGGATATTTGGATTGATCTTGCCATGAATTATCGTATTAAGCTCAGAAAATGTATAGAATTTTGATGATGTTGAGATTTGAAACTCATAATGTTTAGATCATTAATGGAGTGTTTTTTTATGAGTTTAGATCATTAATGGAGTGTTTTTCGGTGTATCCATAGCTCTGAGGGAGTTAGATTTTTTCTTCAACAGGTAATTAGTTTATCAAGATACAAGATTTATTTATTCTCTTATTTTAATGATTAAACCTACTATAAGACCTCAGCAAGCAAGGGGTTTCAGGAGGCATTGATCATTAAGGGTTTGTTTGGATCATGGACTGGATGAGATGGGATGACTTATTCTCGGATTACTAATCCTGAGATGAGTCGGATTATTAATCCTGGTTGAGTCATCCCTGGATAAATAATCCAAATTATCCAAGGTTTTGGGGATTTATCCAAATTATCTAGTTTTTGGTTGGTTGTCGGTTGGATAGGATATGTTGGAAAATACTCCTATACTGTCTTTGGTTGGAGATTGGATGAGGAAGGATTACTATTTTAATGACCAAAGTATCCCTTAATTTGTAGATTCTTTGTAATAAAATAATTTAGTATTTTATAAAATATTAATAAAATAATTTAATATTATTTAATAAAATAATCTAATAAATAATTTAATATTTATAAATTTTATTAAAATAGAGTAGTTTAAAACTTTATAATTACAAAGTAAATCAAGGGTTTTGATATATAAAAATTTGCATTCATTCAAACCTAGCCCATTCGGGTCCTTAAAAATAGATTTTGACCAAGTTTTTGAACCCAAATTGGATATTCAATTAAATAATGGACCAAAAAAAAAATTAAATAATGGACCAAATTTTGGCTAAATTAAAGTTAAATCAATTAAAACCTAACTCATCTAAGAGCTTTCAATGAGCCGAACTCAGGCTAATATAGAAGATTTTTCTTTGGATCGAGTTTGAGTTTATTGAAGTCCTCATTCACAAAGTCCAATTGATTAGATTATATATTTATATAAATTTCGTTTAGAAAATAAGGTTAGTAAGGGTAATTTAGTCCAAGGGCAATATAGTCCTTCTATTATGATGTTAGTATGGCAAATTAGTCAAAAATTTTAAATCAATTAATAGGGGTAAGTCAAAATTTTTAAAATAATGAATAGGGCAAATTAGTCAAAATTTTTAATATAATTAGTAAGGGCTAATTGGTCTGTTTATTATGATATTATTATGTGAGAGTATGGTTATATAATAGCTAATTTGAATTTGAATCATTCATAAGGATAAATTAGTCCAAAGATTGTTATATTGGGAGTAGGGGCAAATTAGTCAAAAAACTTTAAAATTAAATAGTAGGGGCAAATTAGTCCATTCATATTATATTATCATGTGAGAGTAGGATTATATAATTATATGAGTATATATTTGTATTTTTTTGTAAGGATAAATTAGTCTAAAATTTTATTATCCTAGATGACTAATCCCATCTCCCCCATGGGATTATTTTATCCCATGAATAGGGGATTAATTCGGTTAGCTAGGATGTATCATCTCATGTATAAAATGCAACCAAACATGGGATGACACAAGATGATTAATCCAATCCTGTGTCATTCCATGAACCAAATGGGCCCTAAAAGGATGAGTATTGCAGAACTAGTCTTAAGTTACTTTTGTAGTGCCAATGTTTCCATGGTTATTGATCTTCAAGGGACACAATGGTGAAAAAGGATACTGCATTGCTGATTGTACTTTCACCATTTCTAGTGTTTTTATCTCCTCTTTGTTATTCGGAATATGTACCAGACATTCATGTTCGAAGCATACGTATTTCACATCAATCAATATCTTCTAATGTCCTGGTTGAAGTAGTCTAAAAAAAAGAGATTGAATAATATTGAAGATACGAAAACAAAAGTCGGATTTCCAGTCTTTACTGAGCAATCCACTTTCTTATCATTTAGAATTGCAAAACATCCTGAAAAACCTTATTAACACTTCATGTTCAATGATCTCATTTACCTTTTCGAGGGCTTGCGAATAAAGCAAGATGCTTGGTACTCGTCTGAGGATAAAGCTTTGTTTACTGAATTTTTTTCAAGCTAAAGTATCTCTAGAAGCTTTCAAACTATGCTGTATTATATATTGCTGGGATTAAGTGCAATTCTAATTGAGATCATGTAGCCATGAAGGACCTGATAACTATCCTGAACCAACACTCTGTCTCATAGCGCCTTACTATTTGACAGTATTAACAAACCAAGCTTCAAGTGACCATCTTCTCTTCTCTACTCTCTCTTATTCCAGTATATGCAACCTTTAGCTGTGGAGAAGCTAGATCCAACTACCAAGCTGTAATATTCTGTATGTCTGGTATAGAATGTTATCACCTGATGCCATAGCTTTGTGACCTTTTCATTTGTTTTAAGTTCCATGATTGTATTTCATGGAGTTAGTTTCCCTTTAAGGAGGTGTAAACAAGCAGTTGATTTCTTTCCTTGCATAGGAAGTGGATCCGGAATAGTTGTTTGTGTGTTGAAAATTGTGGGAAATCATTTGTGGGTTTAGTCTCTTTTCTTGCATGGGAAGTGGATATAAATAAATGTTTGTGCATTGAAAATTTGTGGGAAATTATTTGTGGGTTTAGTCTCTCTTCTCGCATAGAAAGTGGATCTGAAATAGTTTTTGGTGCATTGAAACATGTGGGAGATCATTTGTTGGAAATTGTTGTCCCAAATTTATTGCTGAGAGCTTTTGGTGAAATCATCTGCAGGGAGCTAGAGAAACTCCAGGCTTAAGCTGAAACAAAGTTGAGTTTTGGCCTTAGCATGAGCATCTAGCCCAGCACGCAAATTGAATGACTATAGTTGTTACAAGTGCAGTGCAGCTAGAAGATGCATTAGCATCAATTGGATCTTAGCCTTAGTTTTAGGCCGTTGTCTTCCATATTATTTGGTACAATATCATCTTTAGCTTCAGCAAATGTACTTGATATTCTCTTTTATAACTGTTAATACATTCATTTCAACAAATTATCTTGTGATAAAATGATTTGAAAAAGGAAGTCATGTTTTCATAATGTGCAATGTACACTTGGGCATGGTTGTTATAAAGCATGGCTACAGTTAAGACATTTATTTGCATCTGAACTGGCATGTCAGTTTGTAAGATTTTTCTGTGTGTTCACCATATTTGTGTATCAACAGAAGTAGTTTACTTGAACTAGCTAAGATCAACTAAATTGAGGAAACGGATTTCATAATTTCACCTTGTATTTTTGTATCCAGATCGATATAAACTGGAGATCCATAAAGTAGTAATTATTGGGGCAGTGACTTATGATTATTATGAATTGGTGATCCATGACTGATGATATCAATAAAATAATGTCCCCAAAGATATTATGTAGTGTTTACACTCCTCTCGATTGAATGAGAACTTTTCTGTACTTTGTTTGCTTGGCTTTGAAATGTCTGACCTCTCTTTGATATGATTTTGCATCTGCAACTTGAATCTTTAATTTGTTTGTTGTTAACAGCACAAGGATCTCAAGCGCTTGGTGTTGTCGGCATTCTACCATATTGGTGAACCTCACCTCGTTTACAATATGCTTTCGCTTTTATGGAAAGGGATCCAGTTAGAAAATTCAATGGGAAGTGTTGAGTTTGCGTCCATGGTTACTGCATTAGTTGTAATGTCTCAGGGCATCACTCTATTACTAGCCAAATCTCTTTTGGTGTTCTTTGACTATGAGAGACCTTATTACAATGAGTATGCAGTGGGATTCTCTGGGGTGCTCTTCGGGATGAAAGTTATTTTAAATTCCCAGTCTGATAACTATGCATATGTGCATGGGCTTCTGGTGCCAGCGCGTTTTGCAGCATGGGCAGAATTGATTCTCATACAAATGTTTGTTCCTGGTGTCTCTTTTCTGGGCCACCTTGGTGGAATACTTGCTGGTCTTCTGTATTTGCGTTTCAAAGCTTCTTATTCAGGTCCAAATCCTTTGACAATGCTTTTAAAAGGTCTTACCAGCGTAGTTAGTTGGCCTTTGAGGTTTGTGCAGCAGTTATTTAGGTTTCAGAGGAGACGAATTTCAGGGAGGGGGGCTGTTGGTGGGGCACCGGGAAGAACGGCTTATGTGTGGAGATGCAGAGCATGTACTTATGACAACTCAGATTGGTTAAATACTTGTGAAATGTGCGGTTCCAGTCGAGATGGTGATGGGTTGTCATCTCTTGAGTTATTAGGTCAGACTGATGAACTTTCTTTAGAGGAATTACGGCGTCGAAGAGTTCAAAGATTCGACAGATAATTCAAGTCTGGGTTACGAATTTTCGCCGTTGTTGATATGGGAAGTCATTCTTGTCACAGAGATAAATTAGGCCTATAGAGAAACATTAACTAAAGATTTGGTGTAGGTGGTTACCTAGATCAACAGATGTGCGTATCCTCCGCCTATACAGTAGGTTAGCCAAACTGCATATACAACAGGTTAACCAAAAATATCGATTTAGCTTGGGAAGAATGTAACATTGTATAGGTTGATTTTTTGTAAGTCGTACACATGCTTTTTCATTCCCTTTGTTGTTCTGGCTCTCTCTGATTAATCATTCAGGGAGAGTTTCTACTGGCTTTGCAATCTTTGGCAAATCTTGGAGATGATAGAAAGGTGAAGCTCTTCCTCTCGCATTTCAGTTCGCATTTTCTGGTTCAAATTGAGATGATAAACTGATTCTGCGTGCAGTTCCAGGTATCTTTTGAAGAGAAATATTGAGGGGGTTGAGGAGGGGGAACGTGACATGCCAGTGGAATTACGCTCAAGGAGGGTGAGAACTGAGGGGGACTGGAGGAATAGGGTGTCGGCAACTGGGAGGTAGTTGATAGCGGATCATTATCTATGTAAGCTAAGTGCAATCAAGGGGCAGGGTGCATCGGATTGAAGTTTTTTTTGTACATAATGCAATGGCATACGACCTGTGTCAACAAAAGAGACTTCTGTCGTGTTAGAGATGCGGTACCAAAAACAAAAGGGAAAGATGCACAATCATTTCCAGTCTAATGCGGCCCGTTTCTCTATTTGCTGCACCATTGAATTCTAAAACAAAATAGTAATTGAAATTTAGACAAATTAGAAAATTTGCTTTGGTAGTCACTGAGAAGAAGTTGAAGGTTAACTACCGTTGCATACTTGCTATTGCACACAAGAAAACAAATCTAAAATGCGTATACCATTGTGCTCAAAGTGCAAGTAGATAAGAAAGATTAGAATGGGTATAATTCAAATAAAAACTACTAACACAAATTAAAAACGAAATAAGCCCCTGATTAGGTGTGTCACATAAGAGGGATATATTGCTTGTGTTCATGTCTAATTCAAGATTATAGGATTCCATAAATAAGTGTTAGATAGTTTTACTTGTTGAAAGATTATCTAGATCGTTTTTCTTAAACAACTTTTTTCTCCTTTTTCCGTTTTATAGCACCTTTAGTTTTTTCAATGCAGTGTCCTTTGTGATGGAATTTAGATGATTAGATTTCATGGGCTGTCTTATCATCATAACTCAAATAGGCTGTGATTTTTTCATGTGGAAAAAGCAATATTATTTTGCTTTTCCATGTTTTTTATTTACAAAAAAAAACTTCCCTTATTCTTTTTGGGAATACAATCTATGGTCTATAGTAGAGCTTTCAACAAGACAAATCAAGTCGAATACTTTGGTGTTTTAGACAGTTTATATATTTTACGAACAAGGTTCAAGATCAATCGTATATTAGATGAGCTATAAATATTGCCTGAATTTGATTTGCTAATTTATATAAATATTCAAGTTCAATTCGATTTTGGCTCATTAAACCAAACGAGTCTGAATTTGAGATCGAGTTCGAGTTTGAGTTCAAATTTGAGTTTAGAAATGATTTAATTACATTTTTTTTTTAAAAAATACATGAGTTAGATTAAGTTTAATTGTATTTCTTTGTTTTGAAAAAATGTAATAATAATTTTATATATAGTTACTTTTTTGAGAAAAATACAATGTATATTTGATAATACTAAATGTATTTATACTAGTATTTATTTATTTTTTTAAAATTATATATGTATTCATGAACTATTGGAATAGATTGTGAACATATTCGTATTCAACTTGATTATCATATGAGTCTAATATTTATCTTTGAACTTGAACTGATTATTTATAGGTTCAAGCTTTTTTTCGTGCAATTTGTAAATTTCAAGGTGAGAAAGAGTTGTATATACGAGTAAACGAAATGAGAAGCACACAAATTAATGGTGGTTTTATGCTTTTCTCTTCGTAATTAGACCGTAGTTCAATTTTTTAATGTTCTTTTCCTTATGCTGCCAGAAAGGATAAAAAAAGCAGCATGAAAAGGAAGCAAAGTTACCGAATAAGCATAATGCAATAGGCAGCAAAGGCAATTACTCTTTGCTTTTCTTACTTTGTTGTCTACATTTAGCTTTTTCCTTACATGTTCGAAATTGAATGGTATCTATTCTAGTAGTGGCTTGAGATTAATCACTCTTGTAGATGGGAATAGTGCTGCAAATCCAAATTGATGACAGCAATGCTGCATTCCAAGTAGCCTTTCGTTGCTAGTTTTGCAGTGAGTTTATGCCAATGAGTTTAGAAAAATGTTCAGGTATTACCGACAATAATCTCTTGCATTAACCACTGCCGTTGTTGGAGTCATAAATCTATCAAGAACAGAAAAAATTACTAACTATAATTATTTGCCAAATGAGGCATTCAAGTTAACAAGTATTTGGGCATTAGTGGATAAAAAATGGATGGGCCTACATGCATAACAATGCTTTGGAAATTGATCTCATAATCTCCATCAGTCTTAACCTTTTTCCCTTGAACTCCAAGTTTTATAAGATTTGCAATGTAGCTATGCGAAATAGCATAGAAAAGAGAAACTATCATGAAGTTGTATATGAATTTTATATTTTGTGTATGCAAAATTAAAGTTAAAACTATTGATTGAGGTCTATTATAGCCAAAAAGTCTAGACCTCCAATTCAGTCTAAACTATTTTCTTTTTGGTACTCATTCCGAAGTAATTAGAAGTAATCGATATCTTGGTTAACGTACTGCAACTTCTTTATTGCTTAACATCTGCAAGGTGTCCATTGGATCGAATGTCCTAGCCAATCAATGGAGGTGCCTTCATGGATAAGTATCAGTACAAAATGGTTTCTCAATGTAAAAAATATGTGTATGTTTTAAAAAGATTATTATTGTGAATTAATGGTCATATTCCATTGATAGTAACTTCAACTTATACACTGACGAGATTGGATGAATATCACGACATTTGAATATCAAATTTTATGTATGTGTCATGCATCTAAATCCGGTAGCATATACACTGTTAGTGTATAAAAGATTTCTTAAAAAAAAAAAGAATATTGATATCTTCCTCATACAAAGCACAAAGAGTTTTCAGTGAAGCCCCAAAATTGCCTATGCAAATCCCATCCTTCCCTGGAAAGCACAAATTCAGAGGACCAAGAAAAGATGGTTTGCAACAGTTATTCAGCAGAAGTTAGGCTGCATGATTAAATATTTGATTATCAATACATTACTACTATCATTACTAAGAAAAGATTAGGGGAAACTGATATCACTAGCCTCTGATTTACTGCCAATCAATCCAAATATTAGGAATGTCGGAGATCTTGGACCACTCAGAATTGGGGTCCTTGCTGCTGCTACTCTCTGGGTTTCATCTTTCCGTTAGAAGGATACAATCTTGAATCCACAGGCGACTCAGTTTGGCGAGACTTCTCATAGATTGGTGAGAGGGTAAATTTTCTCGCTTTTCACATTTGCACAGGTCGAGAGTTTCAAGAGATGAAAGCTTTCCAAACCAATCGGGCAATGATTTTACTCCAAAGCCATCTAGTCTAAGATATGTTAGGGTAGAGAGGTGCTGAAGTTGCTCTGGCAGAGATTCCCAATGAGGCCATCCAAACAGACGTAATCTTAAAAGAGGAGATAAGATTGCGGCATTGCCATACTTGCAATACCTCAAGAGGAGGAGGAGGACAAGTAGCAGAGGAGGGTGAAGAAGTGGAATTCGACTCTGACTCAGATATTTGAGGGATGAACATATGGGTTAATCCACTACACCAGCAAATTCTTAATTCTCGCAAGGCATTGAGGTATTGGTGTCCCCTGGGGATTGAAATTGACTTGAGTGAGGTGCAACTGCCAACAACTAACTTCTCTAGGGACCTAAGGCCAACCAAATGTTGACTTTGAGTAGCATTGTTGCTATCATAAATGTGTAGTTGGCTGAACTTAGGTACTGTTTGATGATTTGAGCCTTTCAAAGTTTGAACATCAGGTGAAAAATTCAAGAGTTGCATCAAATCACCACAACCACGCAACACAAGATCTGCAAGATTTGAATTGTTTTCGAATAACACATCTGGTAGCTCAGTGAGTTCATTCACATTCTCAATCAAAAGACTAATGAGAGTGCTGACTCTGTTGCACATATATGCCAGTACTGTTGATCCATGGCCAATGCGCATGAAGTCTAATTTCTTAAGACGTGGAAAATGATTTGGAACAATGTCTAATTGGGGACAATTATCAATCTCCATTGTCTCAAGGACAGGAAATACCACCATTTTTCTGTCATGAACTACTGCTTTTGTCCATTCACTCAAACTTGACATATTCTTAAGAATGAGATGTTCCAGTGCTGGAAATAATTTTAGAGGTCTTTGATTGCTACTGTCACCATGCATGGCTGATCCGCTATAAAAAGATGGCCCTATGCTTGTTATGCCATCAAGTCCTTCCAAGTGAAGAGATCTAAGGAAGGGCATGTGTCCAAGAGTTGGTAATTCTTTGCAGTTTTTGCAATTTAGCAATTCATACTTTACCAATTTCTCAAGTTTTCCAATCCATGTCCAAAGTTGATCACCAAAAAATCTTTCAATTATCAAACCTTTCAAATTTCGGTGTGGTTGCAAGCATTCCAACACTTGATTGTATTCGCTGTCATTCTCTCTCGGATTATCTAATTCATTCCATAATAATCTCAACTCATCAATGTTTGGCTTCCTGATCAGATTTGCAAACTTGGCTTCTTCCTTATTTCTCACCAATTCAAGATTCCATATCTCAAAGCTTCCACTGAGACTCTTTAAACTTTTCAATTGTCCAATTTGTCACCCTACCTCTTCACCAATATTAAAAAATGGCAGTATTCGGAGAGAATGCAATTATCCGATCTCAAGAGGCATTAGACCACTTGATTTATCCTTAGAGAAAAAGTCAAAGTGCCTCAAATTCACCAAATTCTTGAAATTATTTGGAAACTTTGTCAGTGATTTACAATTTCTAACTCTTAATGTCTGCAGACTGTAAAGTTTACAAAGGGAGCCTGGCAAAGTTTCCATTGGAGTATTTGATGAATTGAGGTATCTTAAATGAGACAACTTGCCAATTGATTTAGGAAGCTCCTTGGCATCTGATGAAACTAAGTTTAGCACTCGCAAACAAGCCAAAAATGAGATCAAACCATCATTAGTTGATATGTTTTCCAATAAAAATAATGTTGTTATGTACTTGAAATTCTCGTTCAATGGAAATGGTCTTGCTTCTCCACCACTTCTCTCCATTGCAAGATACCGAATGGGAAAAGTCTGGTCATGGTTTGATTCTTTCAAACTTGTGGTTTTAAATTTGGAAATGGATTGCACCATATCATGCACAAGATCATGCATTTTGCAATTCAAAACATTCCCATAACCATCCTTCTCTGCATCTTGAAACAAGTTACTATCCAACAAAATGGTAAAATACATATTACCAACATCCTCCATGCACGTATTGTTTCCTAGATTTGAATGAAGAAATCCTTCTGCCGCCCAAAGTTGGATTAGTTGATTCCTTTCTATTTGAAAATCCTTCGGAAAAATTGAACAATATGCAAAACACTTTTTAAGAGATGGATTTGGAAGATGATCAAAGCTTAATTTCATAATTTTAGCAATATCAACATTTTCATCTCTGCCTAAACTTCGAAGCCTTAGCTCTAAAGTTTGCCATTCATCTGCTCCCTTGTTGCGCAACATGCCACCGAGAACACTTGTAGCCAATGGTAAGCCTCGACATCTTTGCGCCATCTTGAACCCTATAATATCTTGCAGCCCATTTGGCACTTCCCCAGCACCAAAAGCAATATCTTTGAGAATGAGCCAACATTTATCATCTGATAATTCTTTCAAGGAACAAAGAAGAGAAGAAATTCTTGTGAGGTTTGCTACTTGTTGGTTACGAGTAGTCACAAGAATCCTGTGAGACCCCGAAATTTTACTTGTCTTTATAGCTCTTATTTGAACTTACTTGCCTTAGATTCTTGGTTTTTGTAATGGTTGAATTTGAGCCAAGGGAGTGAATTTTGTTAAGAAAAGTTTCATAATCTCAAGTTGTTAGAAAATCTAGCAATCTTCGCAGGAGGCTGTGCACAGTTTTGGGAAATTGGCTATAACTTTGTATAGGAAAGTCAGAATTGAGTTCCGTTTGTTGCCTTTGAAACTAGACTCAGAGGATTCCTACGGTGTAAAATTTAGAGTTTCATTCAATGTCTATAAATTCTAGGAAATTGGCAAGTTTGACTGAAAATTCAGCCCTGCACAAGTAAACATAGGAATGTTGTAGTAGCTTATGGCTCAATTTGGACCAACTTATGAACTAAATCTCTTTGAGATGTCTTCTAAAGATGATTAGTATTTGAATTCTAGTTTTTAACAAGCCAAGTTGTGTGAATTTTTGATATTTATAACTCAAGTTATGATTTTTCTAAAGGAAGGGCATAAGTTAGGGTTTTTGTGCATATTAGAGTTTTGGTGTGTGTTTTTGTGTGCATTTTGGTAGTGTGATTGTGAGGACTTGTAAAATCCCTCTTATTTTCTTAAAAATTCCCTTTTATTTGGAATCCATTATTTTACAATAGCTTTACTACTCATTCACTTCCTCAATAGTTACAATTAATCATAGAACCAAGGATTTTCCCTTTACTTTCATCGTTAAGGTAAACTAGGTTTTTTTACGTCTTTTGGTAGTGTGATTACTCGGTACGGAGTATGTACTAAATTTGGCAGTTAAGAGTAAGTTTTAGATAAGAGAAAATGTATGATTAGAAGTGAGAATAATAAGTTAGTGAATCATAAGATAAAACCCTAGTACACGCGATTTAAGGAAAATCGGTTTGAACCGACGGGTACCGTTCGCTACCAATGGAATACACCACTTGACCACCACTTTATTACCTTAATCTCCTTGTTTTAGTTGAGCTAATTAGCTCTTAATTAACCCTTAAGTCAGCCACCATTATTGACTAAGAAAATGAGAGATATTTTGGACTAAGGAAATGAGAGATATTTTGGTGGAAATTTTTTTGATTAAGCCATTTGTCAAAAATCCAACCAAGGTCTTGACCAAGACATTTTCTTTTCTTCTTATCTTTCTTCTTGGCTCATTTTTCTTCATTTTCCTTCATCTTGGTCGTGACTTATGAGAGGAAAAAGAAAAGAGTGAAAACCATTTCATTCCATCTTGATTTCTAGCTTAGGTGAGTGAAAACCGAAAATCTAAACCGATTAACCTCTAAATTGGGAGCTTAGGAAGCTTGGTGTGCTAAAGTTTTTGAAAGGAAAGGTGAAGGATTTCTCTTGCAAGCATCTTAGAGAGGTATTATGGCTGTCTTCCTTCATCTCTTCCTTATTCTTGCTTACGTTTGTATAACAACTCATACTTGTGGCAAATGATAGTTCTTTTGGTAGTTTTGATGGATATGGTGGATTTTGAGTTAGGGTTTGAGTTGTTCATTTGTATTCCTTGTTTTTTAGAGAGCATATGATGTCTATAATCTTGGATATGGAGTTGGGATAGTGGTGTAAGACATGAATGAGCATTTTCTACTTTGGTTTCATCAAATTCCAGTTTTAAGGATTGAAGCTGCCCTGTTCTGACCAGCATCATTCGTCCAGGTTGGAGGCCGAATTAGGCTTAGGTTAAAACATAAAAGTTGTAGGAAATGATGTTATATAGCTTCCTGTTAAATTTCAGCTCGATCATAGCACAATAGCATGTGAAATGACTGAAATACCCTTGACTGCCAAAAGCCTCATTTCGTAGACAGTTTTGACATTTCACAAGTTTGGCTTCGTTTTTCGCCTTGATCCGTATCAAATTAGCCTTTGTCCAAAACACAAAACTTTTAGCCCTATGTTTTAGCTTTCCAACGCATCTGAAAATGCCTCAAATGGCATTGTCTAGCTTGAGTTATTGCCATTTGAATTCAGTACTGACAACCAGACTGACCATGAACTTCTGGTTCTGTAATTTGCAAATTCGACCTAGATAAATTGTGAACTGGATTAAGTTGTCTTCATGAAAGTTGTAACCCTTTGTTTTAGCTTCTAAACTGTATAAGGTACACCCCAATATGATAGACGTAGCTACATTTGTGACCAAAATGCTATAAGATGTCAAATCTGCTGTTTAGCTTTTTGTCTTCAAAACTGATTTCCGATTGTATTATTACACTTGTGTTATAATTGGATGATTTTGGAGCCTAATTGCAGGGCTATGTTAGTAACATTACTTGTGTGTGATTGTGGGGCTGAATTGAGAAAAACAAAGAAGCCATAAATGGCTGGAAAAATAGATAAATACAAAGGGCATGTCGCCCAAATATTTACTCGAGGACTAGGTGTGTGTACTTGTGATTCAAGCAAAGAATTGAGATTGAATTGAATTTGAATTATTTAGGTTATTCGAGTCCTCTTTCGTAGAGGTATATAAGCTAGAATTTGGCCAAAACTTGTACCCTTGGAAAAATCAATAGAAATACGTTTTCCTCGTCTTTGCGACTCAAATGCGAATTCCAAAGTTTTAGTTGCTTCTTTAGCAACACCAAAAGAGCGAGTCTGAATTTTCTAGAATTTGATACGTAACATGAACCCTATCTAAATGAGTTTCATTTACTTGATTTTCTTAAAGCGGAACTCCTATGTTCCAAACCCTAGTTGATTTCAAGTTTTTAAATGATATTGTATCGTAGATTTGGACTCCAACCAAGGAGTTACACCTAAATGTGATTTTTGACAAGCACTAAATCTTTGGTGAGTGCTTCCAAATATATGATTAAACTTGATACTTGATTAAATTCTTTACCAACGTGATCGGATAAGATTTGCTTGGTTTGGTCGGGTAAATGTGTACTTTATCGCACTTGATCTAACTCAACTAAACACTTGATATCTCATTCATGCTTATACAAGTGACTTGATTTACATTGACCTGTACTTGTATTTGTACTTGTGCTTGACTTGTAAGTACTGAGCGGCAGTATGTACCACACTCGATACGAGTGGGAGATACCTCTCATTCCCATCTCCGTATTTTTCTCGTGACTAAGTCAATTGGTCATCGGCTATAGTGACTACTTGGGAACCCAAACCCCATTGGCTAGTTAATCGAGTCGAGCCGGCAAGGGCTTGGTCGATTAGATAACGAACCATGGGTATCTAGTGTTGTCGAGTGGAATGCTATCTTCTCGACTAATCGGTATACTCAAGTATTACCACCAGTGTTTAGTTGGTGTTCGGGCCCGGTAAGGGGGTTGAATGGTGGACAGATTGGTGTAAAGCGAAGTACTACTGGATTGGTTACTTTACTTGAAAATTGATGGAGTGTCAACTAATACTTGATCAAGCTCTAGTGAAGCAACGGGAATTTGGCTCTTGAGAGTCATCTGTATCCTTATATTTTGATTATTATTCGTAGTGTTATTGTTTCTTTTAGAAAAAGAATTTTACACTCGCTCATTTTGAGATTTGCTACTTGAAGTGTTATTGATTACTTTTATGAACTTGTTATGCTCGCTGTTTTGCTACGTTGATACTTGTACTTTTGATTAATGATCAACTTGCTATTTGGAACCTCACTGGGCTTTTAGCTCATTCCACACCATTTGTTTTCCTTACAGGGGATACGAGCGAGGCGTGAGACTTGTACAGGCTAGCGTAGTCTAGTGTTTGGATTTTGCAATTGTACTCGCACTAACACCTGACTAGGGTAGATTGTATTTGGGTTGTAAACACTTTAACGTATTTGGGCGTGTATAAGCCTTGTAGCTGGATTTGAGCATCAATATATATGTTAAGTTTGAAATTGTTGTTTCATTTCTTTTCTATGATCGTGATATCTTTTCTCGAGTTAAGCGTGAGTGAGTTCCGGCGAGAGTTGAGCGGGCGATCCGCTAAACCCTATGGTACGCCCTAGTGGGAGGTGGGGTCGTCACAAATCCAGTTGCCCATGGCTTGGCTAATTCCATGGTGTGGACTCCTTATTCCACACATCATCCAAGACCAGGAGATACTTTTTACCATTCAATAATTGCTTAAGCTGCTTCACTTTGGCTTCCCTACTCTCAACATCAAGCCCTTTGAGTTGTAATGATTCTAGAATCAAACCAAAAAGCCTATTTACATTGAAGTCCTCCGACACACACACCCATATTCTACTTTCAAAATGCTTTTCAATCCTTGGATCGTTGAAAACTTTTCGAGCCAATGTGGTCTTCCCAATCCCGCCCATGCCTACTATGGGAAGAACAAAGATAGTTTCATTATTACTCGTGGCAATCAATTGTGTTATTATTGCTGAAACATCATCATCTTTTCCAACAAAACTCGTATCAACAGTAACAAAGTTAGTTTCTTTGTTCTTCATAAGTCCCCCTCCACTAGGAGGAGAAAGAGCAGGTGCATCTCTAGCTCCAGTTTGTGACAGGAGGCTAAAGTTCCTTGCTCCTTCATTGATTCTTTTCAAATCGATATTGATTTGCTGAATTTTTTTGGCCATTTTGCAATGAAATACAATGGGATTGGAGAGTGAGAAGAAGAAGCATACCTTCCTCTTCAACTGGTGAATTTCAACTTAGCGTCGAATCATTTCATAGTTGAAGTCATCCAGCAAATTTTTAGCATCAAAAGCCACACGTTCAAGCTTCTCCAACCAAAGCTTTATGGACTCTTCAGTCACCTGTTTTTTCTCTACATCATGAAGGATAGCCTGGATCAGAGTCAAAGTTTGCTTCAGATTCCCCAAATCTTTTGTAAAGCCAACAAACTGGCCAACTTGTTGAGAAGCCGGGTTTATTGCATTCTCCACTAGAACTTGTACCGTGGAAGCAAATAGTGCATCCGCCATCAAGTTTATAATTGAGAGTAATAGAGGCTTTGATATTTTTGAGATTGTGGGATTAAGCAATTTGTTACTTTCAAGGTGAGAAAGAGTTGTATAAACGAGTAGATGAAATGAGAAGTATGCAACCCTTCTCTTCATAATTAGAATGAAGTTCAATTTTTTTAATATTCTTTTCCTCTGGGGAGAGAATGGTGCAAGTAAGGGATAACAAAAGCAGTATCCAAAGGAAGAAAAGATTCCAAATAAGCAACATGTAATAGACAGCAAAGGCAATTATTCTTTACTCTTCTTACTTTGTTGTTTACTTTAGCTATTGCTCGAAATAGGATGGTATCTATCCTAGTAGTGGCTTGAGATTAATCACTCACATAGATGATAGACAGTAATGCTGCAAATCCAAATTGATGACAGTAATACTGCATTCCAAATAGCCTTTCACTGCTAGTTTTGCGGCACAATGCAAACAAAAGTTAAAAAAAGGGTAAATTATCTTTTACCCCTATGTGGTTTGGGGCTTTACCACATGAACTCCTTATAGTTTGAAAACCTATATATAACCCCTTCATGGTCTGGGTTAAAATGTCACAGTTAGTTTTTCCGTTAAAACTAACAACCAATAGTAAAAAGTTAAAATCCAACTAATAAATTGACAAATTCGTCCTTTCATTTCTTTTTTTTCTTTTTTTCTTTTCTTTCTCTCTCTCTCTCTTTTGGGAAGATAAAAGATGATTTTGAAAACCCACACTTTAGCCTACAAATTCTTAATTTTCTTCAAATACAAAAGAGATGGAAAGGAAATAAAAATAAATAAATAAGAAACAAATAAGATAGAAGGGAAATATAAAAAAAATAAATAAGAAACAAAAAAATACCAAATCTTTTTTTTCACTACAAATATCATTATAGGTTTTTAAACCAAATCTTTAACGGTATTTTCCATTTCTTATTTATATATTTTTATTTCAATTTCTTCTTTTTTATGCTTAGAGGAAAAAAAAGGAAGTAATGAAAGGATAAATTTATCAATTTATCTGTTTGATTTTGACCTTTTGCTTTGACCATTAGTTTTAACGGAAAAACTAATAGTGACTCTTTAACCCAAACCATGAGAAGGTTATATATAAGTTTTTAAATTATAGGGGGGGTGATGTAATAAAGTACCAAATCACAGGAGGTAAAAGGTAATTTATCCAAAAAAACTTCTCTCTATCCCTAAGCATATTCATTTTTAAATTATTATTTAGCTTTTCTATGAATTTTGGATATATGACAATATATTTTGTCACGTAAGTAGTCAAAAAATTCATTATAAATCAAGATATAATATGAAATAGATGGTAATTCTTAGGAGTCCAATTGAATCGAGTCGAACTCGAGTAGTACACTAATCAACCTCGATTCAAGTTAAAAAACTTGGACTTGCTTTTTTTTAGCATTACTCTAGCTCGAGTTCATGCTCGTAGAGGTTAATCAAATCTAATAGAGTTTAAAAATATAAATTTATATTTATATAATTTTAAACAAGGGACAAAATAGACATTTCATACTAATCAATAAAAAAATTATATATATATATGTACATGTAGATGAATTTTCAAGTTCACATATTAAGCTTGAACTTGATTCGTCAAGTAACTCGAGTTGTTTGAACTCGAGCTAGAGTTTTGATTGAACAAACTCACGAACTATTCGACTAAGATCGACTCATTTGTATCCTTGGTACTAGGAGAGGGAAGTGCCCGCAAATCGCGCCGGTGTTTGGTGCCTGTGGTTAAAGAGGATTTTTTATTGGACAAATAATAGTACATTCTGAAAAGAAATAGCCATCAAATATGACAAAGCAAGTTTGGAATTCATTGTCTAGCTCTAAAGAACCTGGAGTTTGATACTTTATGTAAAATGTGTTTAACACTAGCATAGAGTATGAGTATTTGTCCGCGCATCACACTTATGAAGTCCTAAAGGTCAGAAGAATAAAGTATGAAGAAATACCAAGGAATCTGGGACACCCACAAGAGTCTCCTTCTTTAATGAAAGCACGACAAATCCAACGAAACCCTTTGCTTTGATATATGTTTCAATAGCTTAATAGTTCACTAAACAATTGAATTCTGCCATTCCTAACATATGTAGTTTATAGTATTTTTTTTTCCTTTTCCATGGCTCAACTAACAATAGCCTCCCAATCTATGAAATTAAGAAGAAATATAAAAAGCAAAACAAGTAGTTGTGGGGTGAGATTCTTGCCAGTTAGGTAGTAGTAAACTTTGTAGAACCATTAGATCCCAAGCCCATCATGGTTGCCCTCACCGTTCTTCCTGACTTTATCCAAGTTCATTTGCAAATCACTCCATCCTCTGATCCTTCTCTTCACTATGGCAACTACTAAACATAGCAAGTCAAGTTCCATTAGAAACAAAAGAAAGTAGATGTGATCCAACAGAAACAAATAGTAATATAGAAGATTAAATGCTTAGGTTCAATGGATTTTGAGCTTAGGTTAGGTGCATTGAAATGTTTCTACTATAGGCAATTTGAGACTCTGTAGCGGTGGTGTGGTGCCTTTATAAACCAAAAAGAACAAAATTAAGATACCCACAAAGAGGAGAAGATTTATGAACAACCAGAGTCTCAAATTTAAAGATGTGAGCTGACACCGCCACTACACACCAGAAGAACCACCCACATAAACAACAAAATTAAGGAACAAAACTCACCTCAAGCTGAACCACCACGAATAGCTGCGTTGAAGACCATTCTTGAATGCTGAGTATAAAGGCAGCAACAAAGAAACCCAATCCCGGAAGCTGAAATAGGGAAAACTAAAGAATGTGAAAGAGGAGGCATTGGAACAACCATAACCAATGCTCAGATATTAATTCATCAACATACCCACGTTTATGGCAGTTAAATTGAGATATAAATGGCAGAGAAATGGGTTGTTTCCAACCTGAGCTTTAACATCTTTGGGAGTTGCGCAAGTGACCAGACATAAGTTATTTCAGATAAAGGAATATTCTCAAACAGATATCTTTGTCTCAAAAGCCATACTTCAATTAAATGTGTCTGTAACACCATTTTAGTAATTATACCAACACATAAGCTTATATGAGTTGTACTCTACGCAAAAATAGTTGCAAAATAATTATACATTCCACAAATACCCAGTTGTCTTCACAAATCAAAGCTTTAAATGTATCAAAATGAGGACATTTTGGTAAATATGCCCAAACATATGTTGTCCTCAGTTGTACCAAAAGGTTTAGAAAAACTGCACAATATTTCACATTTCCAAAAAGCCCCTATCCATGTGATTGAAATCCAAAGCCCCTTTTGACCACAACTCATTCTTATATAGTATAAGGAATTCTTATTAAAATAAGTTTTGATCTTATGTTTATCGGCCAAGTAGGGACCATCATTGGTTTAATTACAAATTGAGGATTTCAACCAATCTACATAATAAAGCGATTGTGCCAATGAGTTTAGAAAAATGTTACGGTATTACTACCAATAATCTCTTGCATTAACCATCCCTACTGGCGGAGTCTTAATTCTATCCAAAACAGAAAAAACTACTACCCATCAATTATTTGCCAGACAAGGCACTTAAGTTAATGAGTATTTGGGCAATAATGGATGAAAAATGGATGGACTATGAGGACCAGAAATTTTATTTTACTGACTTATTTAATTATTTATTCACCCGTTTACTCCAAATAATTTATTTCATTCATTTTAAATCCATTTACATGGAACAATGTCTCATTTATATTTTTAAAACGACTCGTTACTGAATTTAATTTTTCTGCGGCTCGTTTAGCGAGAAATAGTGAATACATGTTTTTCGAGGTACATCGATCCGAGAGTACATTAATCTTGGAGAATTAAGAATGATTAATAGTAGACTAAGAAAAGTTAATTGAGGGATTAGATGTGAGTGAGTAAGTTAAACTCAAGTAGGAGCACTAATTGTTCACTAATCGGTTGTTGACTTTTGTGCACCAAGACACCTTTATGTCAAATCCTTCTTACATAACATCACATCACCACCTACCAACCAAAACTCTTCCTTCTTCCTCTTGCTCTTGGCCGAACCTCCCCTCCCTCATTTCCCCTAAAAAATTTCAGCTTTTGTCTTCCATTTTTGCTCCACAAAAGCTCACCAAACTTTCTCCATCTCTTGGTTCTTCATACAAGCTTGGAAGAGGACTTGATCAAGGAAGAAACTTGGTGATTTAAGAGCTCAAATCCTAGTGTTCAGTCTTCATCTTGGCAGCAAGGTAATCATCCAAAGAAACCCTCAACTTTTCCTCTCTAATCTTAGTAGTAAGATGGTTTAGTTACTTTAGTTGTTGGGTTGTTGATAAGTTCATAAGAACCTTGACATTAGGTAGTGGACTTGAAGTGGCTTGATAGGTAGAGGCCTTGAGGATTTTGTGTGTTTAATTGCTTGTTTGTTACTTACTTCGATGAGATATGGTGTAGTTCTAGTTGGAAAGTTGAAAAAGAAAACTAGAGGATGAGAAATACTTGCTGGCCGAAATTTGCTGGTTGTTCCTCTCTTGTTAATTTTGAAATTTTAATGTTATTTTGGTGTAATAATGCTTGATATATGTTGGTGGTTATGTGTATGAAATATCACCAAAAAAGCT